GTATTTTAATTTAAAAAATAATTTTTTAAACAAATACAAATTTTTATTATTTATTTATTAAATTTAGTAAAATCTCGATTTTACCGATTCGATTTTATGATTCCGATTTTACTTACCCAAAATGATTTTAGGTAAAATCTTGATTTTGACAACCTTGGATGACACTAGGCCATTCATGCCAGCATTTGATTGGTCCATGCATTCAAACCCACGTGGGTATGCCTGGATTGGTGTATGGGCATTCTCCATTTGGGCTTACTGATAAACGAATGGGCCTACTGTATGCGGCCCAAATCAAATGTTGGGTCCATTCCCAACATTACTTCCTCTTTAGTGTTCGGTTGACGAACTGAGGTAACTGTATTCACGGCCCAATGTTCAGTCTTAAGAATAAAGCCTACTATCTTTTGACTTTGTGCACGACCTCGTTAGTGGTTGAGTTGAAAGATTATAGTATAGAATACACATCCAAATGCGAAGGCTTGACTTGAACAAGTCATGATGTGTTCAAACAGAAACCTAAATGAGGAAGCCTTTGGAGAAACCTAACCTTAACATGACCTTATCCACTTGAATTTAGATCAGGTATCTATGAATAGAACGAGCTCATACGCTCGATTGTCAATGAGCGACCTGATGTTATGGCGATTTTACTCGCATGAACTTAGCCTATTAGCGAACTCAACGAGCTCGTAAAAGGCGAGCTTGTATGATGAATTTTGAAACTTCCAAGTGGTGTAAGTCTCGAAGGGGATGGAGTCTCCTTGTAAGATGTGTGTCACATACGAGGTGTTACATGGTGAGCTCATCCACGTTAATGTGAAAATGAGCAAATGCATGATGATCTCAGCCGGGCAACTCTCCAAAATTCAAAATGGAGCAACTGCGAAGACGAGCTAATGCATGATGATCTAAACATTGACAATTTTTCAATTTTTAAAATGGAGAAAATCTTTGGGGAGATACGGTTGATATCCTTCTGCCAGCGAATTTCTCTTTGCCTTCCCCGCAATTAATGCTAACTCAGCATTTGAAGAGATGTGACAGCTAAAGCCCACGATGTTACATGTCAAGCCATAAATAACTACCACGTGTTGGGTTTTAACTAGCATGCCATAAACACACGTACGACAGTTAAGGCCACACAATTTGTTTGAGAAAAGGAAGAGAAACAACCGTACAATCATTTTAGCATTTCCCTTTCACCATATTCTCTGTCATTTTTGCAGTGGAAGTACTTGAAGCTTTTGAAGCGAAATCCATAGACCATAGACGCGAAAGAACATTACGTTCCACAGATTCAGGTAAAAATGGACTTTTTTAGAGAACTTAACGAGCTCTAGGGTAACCAAGGGGGGGAAGAAGAAGAGGGCATTATGTTAGTGGAGCAGATTACCATGATAGTGCCGTTGGCACTACAAGATTTATCGAAATCTATTACGCCGGAGAGCAGTGCCAGTTCAAGCGCAGATGGTGACTCCAGTGGTAACCATTCTGATGAGCTAAATTTATATACATATTAATAGGGAATTTTTACCTTGATATTATTGATATTCGGATGAGTTTTATGAGATTTTGTTTGATTTTACATGGTTTTCATTCTTTGTGTAGGAAAGGATTTAATTGGAAGAAATCTTACTTTTTAGAAGTAAATTGAAGAGATCAGAGACTTAAGGATCAACTTGTGCAGAATCCAGAAGTCAGGAACCAAATCTGCTATTTTACCATTGAAGAAATTGCAAAAGAAGACCAGAAACCCGACACGGGTGTAGTGTCTACACATGATCGGGGTGTCGATACCATGTGCTAAACGTCCATAATCAGATTCTGTTTCCTATTTTGTGTCAACACGTAATCCGAAGTGTCAGCACCACGC